TCGAACTTGAAAAACCCCCGAGGGATATGGAGATGGAATGTTATTGGCGTCCCCATCCTCGAACCTGACTCAAATATATATATATATATATATATATATATATATATATATATATATATATATATATATATATATATATATATATATATATATATATATATATATATATATATATATATATATATATATATATATATATATATATATATTTGAGTCAGGTTCGAGGATGGGGACGCCAATACCATTCCATCTCCATATCCGTCGGGGATTTTTCAAGTTCGAATATCTCCATACCCAATACCCATTTGGCCCCCGTAGGGATTTTTGTCATCCTTAACTCTATGTGGTACTAAGTCACTTATGTATCTTACCGTACAATGTATAAAGTGTAAAATATTGTAGTAAATTGTTATATATAAATGATTATGGTGTGTTTAATCTTCTTTCATTAATTACTATATATTTTCTACACTCATAATGTTTGTCAGTTCACTATATAATCAACTTAAATTTGTTAAACCCATCATGCAATGCATTTCCTTCCAACTTTTGTGATAAACTAATAGATAATTGACTAAATAAACATCCTTCAAAGTTTCAACAACAAAAAAAATAATCAAGTTTTTCTTACAATTTCTATGGTTTTTATTCAATTTTTATCGATATCAATAATATCCCGATATTTCTATCAAAATTTCAGTATTTTTGGACTACCGATATTTCCGATATCATCGATATTTTAGACCTTGGTTACAATTTAGTCTTGGAGAGCTAATTTTGGGGCAATTTTATGAAAACAACAACCCTATGATTTATTTTTATTTTTTTTGGGTTGGATTCGGGTGTTTTGAGCACTCCCGCATCTGGGTATAAACCAAAACTCATAATTTCATTTTAAGCAACTCTGAATTGATAGGAAGACTGTCCAATAGAATTATGATTTGTGAATCTGATTCGTTTTTCCAAAAAGGACCTACGTTTCCTCTTCCTTTCGAAGTTGTGTCAAATGAGGCCTTACTCCATATATGATCAATATATATATATATATATACAGTCCCTTTCAGTTGAGGGATCCCTCAAATAGTGTTATTTGAGGGATGGGGCGCTTAGCCATTAGATCCCTTTTAATGAGCTTGTGTGGCTGTGATTCTTTTAAATGTTTTAACCCGTTTCAACACTCCAGACCCGAAAAAATAAAACACCCGATCGAAACAATAAAACACGCGATGGCTGAAGAATAAGGCACGCACGAAGAAGACGAAGAGCCCACCCTTCCAAGACGAAGGAAGAGCTGCCATCTCGAGTTGAGCGTGCCAGAATTCTATGCCAATCAGGTAGGTGTATCCATAGCAGTGTTTATGTTTCGTTCTAAATCTGGGTTGTGAATTTCGAATTGGGGTTCTGCGATGGGCTTTTGATTTTGACAATTTCTGGGCAAGGTTGAGAGACCAATTTCTGCAATGGGTTTTACACCTGATTTCTTGTGGGTTTGTTGATTTCGAGTGAATGACAATGGGTTATTCCTAGGTGGGGTTGTTTCAAAATTTGAGCCATGGGTTATTGATTTGGGAGTTCTGTGATAAGTTTTGATTTGAGTTCTAATGGGTAATTCTTTATTTCGGTTTTAATGATGAAGTCTGGATATAGGTTCTAATGGTAGTTCTTGATTTGGGTTCCATTGATGAATTCTTGATATAAGTTCCAATGGGCAATTTTTAATTTGTGTTGTAATGGTAAATTCTTGATTTGGGTTCTAATTATGAATTCTTGATATAAGTTCTAATGGGCAATTCTTGATTTGATCAAAATCTGATCCTACACTTTTCTGCACTCCACAGAGTTTGTTTATTCAATTTCTCTAACAAGCTGTGCACATATAAAGATACTATACACTCATTTAATCAATAGAAGCATATAAAATAATCCTATAATTGTAATGTTCTTAGAAGCATAGACGAATCAAATTCTGGTTTTTTTCCTTCTTGAAATCAATTAGGAGCAAGGATTTTGAACACATACATCAACAACAAAAAAGAAAAGCAATTGCTGTTATTGGTAGAAAAAGAAAAATCTAGCTAATGAGCTATTCATTTGGTTTCTCAATTGTTCTTGTGGTTGTAGTGAAACCATACTAGAATTGTACTCTCATTTTTTCTGTTTCGTTTTTTTTTCCTTGAATTGCAGGTTTTTAATGGAGTAATCTTGTTCGTTTATGTCAATCTCGAAGTTGGACCATCTGCTGTACTTTGGATTTAACATCTTTGGTGGTGTTTGTTTTGCTATCATGGAACTTCTCATTCAAGTGATCATGTTTGTATTACTTTTTGGGTTGGATATAAACTTTTATGTTTAGATGATAGTTCTTGGGGCCAACTTGTGCAATTTATTGAAGTTAATAATCAATTTATGGAACACCTGCTCTCAAGCAATTCTATGTGAAAAGGCTATTTGAATACAAGGCCAACCTCTTTATCTCAAAGCTTCTTCCATTTGATATATGATGGTTTATACCGTTCAGTTTTATTTTTCATTAATGTTCTCCAAAATGATAATACCATTCACATTGCAGAATTTCTCATTGATAAAGAGTTATAGGTACTGCTTTCCATTCTATATGTTTTTTTCTCTATTGAATTGAATATTCCTTTTGGCCGTTGTGCTTTGCTTGTGGCAAGGAGGTGTGGCCGTGAAAGGAAGTTAACAATCTTATAATATACACATTGTGAAACTTAACTTGCTTCCAATTTTAGTGAGCAGGTTGCAGCAACCTGTAATGCCTCCAATTTTTTATTTTTTCAAGTTTGTGCTAAGTCTAATATTCTTCTGCGGGTTCTCATGAAACTAACCCATTGACAATTGGAAAAACTCAACCTCACATTTGAATACATAATTACGAACAATTTACTGACACTTGAAAATTGAGTTTCGTTTTACATGTACATGATATTACAGGAAATACCGATTCGATTTATTCATGACCCAAAGTCTTCCATGATTGTATATACTAACAATGATACAACTGGGACACAATTCATGCATTTACTTGCCAAATAAAATACTAGCTATGACCTAAAACATTCAACTGAAATAATTCCCAAAATGATAATGCTTCGCAACGCTGGATATTATTATTAGTTCTAGATCAAACTATCAGAACCTTGTTGATAATCGGGCGTGCTTTACACATGACCTCTAATGGCATAACTTTAGGCATTGTGAAGCCTTTACCTTCTGTCATATCAATTTCCTTCTCACTAATTCTCGCCCAGTCAAAGCATTGTATCAAGGATCCCAACGTCAAGCCCACCGTACGTTGGGCAAGGCCCGATCCTGGACAAGACCTTCTTCCCAATCCAAATGGCATGGGTTGGCTTGACAAATCATCACCACTCCCAAACCTCTCGGGTATGAAGCTTTCAGGATTATCCCACAACCTTGGATCTCTATGTATAGCCCATGCATTGACCAATACCATGGTACCGCGTGGTACGTTGTATCCCCCAATAGTGCAATCATCTGATGAAAAATGTGGTAGTAGTATCGGCGCCGCTGGGTACAATCGAAGAGTCTCTGATATGATACTTTGAAGATAGGGCAGTTTAGAGATATCATGTTCGTCCACCAAGTGTTCTTGGCCTAATTGAACCTCGAGTTCAGCTCTTGCTCTTTTTAGCACATCCGGATGGTTAAACAAATTGGACATGGCCCATTCTAGTGTCACTGATGATGTGTCAGTACCCGCCAGCACCATGTCCTGAAAATATTTATTCTTTGAGTGTTATAAATAAAACTTCATGTGGCTAGAGAAAGTCATTTTTGAACATCACTATATCAAAATATGGGTCTTTAAAATTGAGGAGCTTCTGAAAATAAATGAGATTTTGACAGTTATCAAATTTCTTTAACTTTTTTTTTTTTTACTTTTGAATTCCTTTAATTTTTCCATTTTTAGAATTTGACAAATGTGTAGATTTCATTTGTTCTAAGGAGAGCTCCTCATTAACTTTAAGGAACCAAACCATGCTCTAAAATAAATTCTTGAAATATAAAGACTTTTGGACTAACCAGAATAAGCCCCTTGATAATTCGGTCACTGTAATACTCAGGTTGTGAGTCCTGCAGAGAAAGCAAATGGTCAATCATTGTGCTACCATTTTTATCCTTGCTCCTGTGTTCATCAATGAGACCTTGCATGAACGCATCCGTCTTCCTAGCCAGCTTCATCACCTTCTTCTCATACCCACGTTCACTCCCAACCCAATTCAAAACGGGCAAGAAGTCAACCGGGTTCGCTACCCCAGTATAAGCAAAAACCTCCTTCATGATCTCTCTGAACTGCCTCGCCTCCTCTTTGTCCACCGATGCATCCTCGCCGTAGTACCTCTTCCCGGCCACCATTCTCATTATGATGTTGAATGTCAGCTCATAAAACATAGACTTGAGCTCCACCTTCTCAAAATCATCACGTACATTTTCTGAAAGTTTAAGCAGCAAGTGTTTGACTTCGTCCTTTCTGACATTCAAGAATGCGTTTAACCCAGAGGTTGAGAAGATCTCGGTGGACCCAATGCGGCGGAGGTTGCGCCAGTGGTCACCGTATTGGGACGTGGCGGTGGTGGTGTTGTTGTAGGCTAGGTGCTTGCCTATAAGCATGCTAGGACGGTTGGCTAAGACGATGTCATTTTTGGTGAAGCATTCTTGGGCTGCGGACGAGGATGATACTATGACCACACGCTGTGAGCCAAACCAGAGAGAGATTACGGGGCCGTGATTTTGTGAGAGGCGTTGGAGGGTTCGATGGATGGGGATCTTCAGGAGATGGAGATGGCCGAGGATTGGGAGAGAGAGTGGGCTTGGTGGGAGGTTTTTGTAACGTTGTCGTTTTCCTTGGAGCAAGAACTTGAAAGTGAAGAGGAATGAGATAAGGGAGAGAAATGTGTAGAACAAGATCTGTTGTTGTTCCATGGCTGCTAGCTATTATTAAGTACAATGAGTTTGAGTGAGGAAGATGTGGTATTTATAAAGAGTAGGCCAAGTAATGACAAGAATCGTACTTTCTTTATTCTTCAAATGGTGGGTAGCTACTTCTTGTGAGTTTTGAACTATAAAGTTATGGAAAATGCACTATATACATCTTATTATCGTTCCATTTGTATAGCAAACGAGGAAAAAAGAAACTAATCAATTATTACATGCGAAAGTTTGGATTTGATTGTTTAATTACACTAAATCCTATTCAAGAGAATTTTATTTCTTCGATATAAATGATATTGGAGGAGGGGAAATCAAATTGAGACTTTGATTGAGTGAGCCAAATCTGGCCCCTCTTCAATTCAAAACCAAATACCCAACTTATCTTGTGGTTGTCATGTATTGTCTTTCTTTTTCAACAATTTCTTCATGGTGGGGTTTGGGCAGAAATATATGACTCATTTATATGGTGGAAATTGTGTTGACCAATGGCACTCTTAATTCTAGTCTTAGACCACTAATCTCAAGGTCTCTTCTTCCATATAGAAATCTAATACAATTATACAAGGGAGATCAGTACTCTTCGATTCTAGCTAGTCAGAGAAGATGCAGATTCAATTATTGTGAAAATTGCAACAATTTTCTATTTCCTTTTGTTAGGTTAGTTGATAGTTTTCATCACGTATTATTCTATAATTTCTTCACGAATAGCTAGCTACATCAGCGAATGCGTGTTGGATTTGCGCATGGCAGTGAGTTGTCCATCTGGTGGATATATATATTGAACAAAAGTCAAGATAATGAGAGGTACTTCCCTTAAAAGCCCGAAAATGTAAATGATGTACGTCCCTCCAATTCAGTCCACCCTCACATAGCAGCGTTGGAGGACATTCACATTATCATTTATATACAAGTTAGATTAACGTGAAGGGGTGACAGAAGCCGAAAGATTCCTTGTAGTTCATATTTAAGCCAAAAAATTTAGACCTCAAATATGAAAAAAAACTTCTTGAATGTAATCGTAGAATGTTACTAATTTATCCACAACGTAGATGGATAGAATATTTATGTTTTTTAGGGTATTGTTAATTAACATGAATTCATATTTCAATGAATTTTTCTGTCTCTCCCAGCAGAATTTCGTGAAAATGGATAGAGTGGAATCGCTTGGGCCACTACAGTATTATCGAAAGTGTCAACATATGGAGGAAGTTTATGAGGATTGGATCAAAGATCTCAAAATTCTTTGGCTTCATTGTGCCATTGTATAATCCATCAACGACAAGATCTTGGAGTATTTCCGCACAACATGTGGCATGTCGAATCCCCCGGTAGTGCATTCATCATGTGAAAAATGTGGTTCAAGCATCGGGGCCACTAGGCACATGCAAAATGTGGTTGTTTAGAGATATTTAGTTCATCCAATAAGTGTTCTTAGTCAAGTTCAGCATCCAATTCAGTTATGGCCTTCCTTTTGTACGTGCGGATGGTCAAGTAGATGACACATGGCCCATTCCAATGTCACTGACAATGTATTAGTCCCCGCCAATAACATAACATGACCTAAAAACTACTTTTTTTTATTAGTAAGTTAGAAAGAAAAAGACAATGAAATACGTACGTACTTTTTCTTGGAACAATATAAAATAAAGAAAATTAGTATCCCCTAAATACACATATATCACTGCCACTGGTGAAAAAAAAAACACTAAAAATTTATTCATGACCCAAATTATTCCATGAATATACTGGCAATGATACAACAGACACACAATTGATTCATTTATTACTTGCCAAAGAAAATACTCGCTATATGACATACAACGTACAAATTGAAATAACTTCCCGCAATGATAATGCTTCGCAATTCTGGATATTAGTTCTATCAAACCTTGTTGATAATCCGGCGTGCTTTACACATGACCTCTAATGGTACAAGTTTAGGCATTGTTAGGCCTTTACCTTCTGCCATATCAATTTCCTTCTCACTAACTCTCACCCAATCAAAGCATTGTATCAATGATCCCAAAGTCAAGCCCACCGTACGTTGGGCAAGGCCTGATCCTGGACAAGACCTTCTTCCCAGTCCAAATGGCATCAGTTGGTGTGACAAATCCTCACCACTCCGAAACCTCTCAGGTATGAAGCTTTCAGGATCATCCCACAACTTTGGATCTCTATGTATGGCCCATGCATTGATCAATACCATTGTACCACGTGGCACGTCGAATCCCCCAATAGTGCAATCATCTGATGAAAAATGTGGTAGTAGCATTGGGGCAGCTGGGTACAATCGAAAAGTCTCGGAGATGATACTTTGAAGATAGGGCAGTTTAGAGATATCATGTTCCTCCACCAAGCGTTCTTGGCCTACTTGAGCATCGAGTTCAGCTCTTGCCCTTTGTAGCACATCCGGACGGTTAAGCAAATTGGACATGGCCCATTCTAGTGTCACTGCTGATGTGTCAGTACCCGCCAACAACATGATCTGTAAATATTTACTCTTTGAGTGTTAATAAATAAAGAAGAGGAGACCATGAAAAACATGAACCAAATTTAAATGTGCGACCATATGAGATATGGTTCTGGACTTACCAGAATAAGCCCCTTGATAATTTGGTCACTGTAATTCTCAGGTTGTGACTCCTGCAGAGAAAGCAAATGGTCAATCATTGTACATCCATTTCTACCCTTGCTCCTGTGCTCATCAATGAGACCTTGCAAGAACGCATCCATCTTCCTAGCCAGCTTCATCACCTTCTTTTCAAACCCATGTACACTCCCGACCCAATTCAAAATGGGCAAGAAGTCCGCCGGGTTCCCTGCCCCAGCATTAGCAAAAATCTCCTCCATGATCTCTCTGAACTGCCTGGCCTCCTCTTTGTCCACCGATCCGTCCTCGCCGTAGTACCTCTTCCCGGCCACCATTCTCATTATGACGTTAAAAGTGAGATCCAGAAACATGGACTTGAGCTCCACCTTCGCAAAATCGTCAAGTGCGTTTTGTGAAAGTTTGAGTTGCAAGTGTTTGACTTCGTCCTTTCTGATGTTCAAGAATGCGTTGAGTCGAGAGGTTGAGAAGATCTCGATGGCCCCAATGCGGCGGAGGTTGCGCCAGTGGTCGCCGTATTGGGCCGTGCCAATGGTGGTGTAGTTGTAGCCTAAGTGCTTGCTTACAAGCAAGCGAGGACGATTGGCCAAAACGATGTCATTTTTGGTGAAGCATTCTTGTGCGGCTGACGAGGATGAGACGATGACCACACGCTGTGAGCCGAACCAGAGAGAGAAAATATGGCCGTGTTTTTGTGAGAGGCGTTGGAGGGTTCGATGGATGGGGATTTTGAGGAGATGGAGATGGCCAAGGATTGGGAGGGAAAGTGGGCTTGGTGGGAGGTTTTTGTAACGCCGACGTTTTGTTTGGAGCAAGAAAAGGATGGAGATAAAGGAGAGGAACGTGTAGAACAGGATGTCTTGTTGTTCCATGATTGCTTTACTTGGCTGCTGGTAAGATTTTGAGTGGTGAAGATGTGGTATTTATAAAGAGCAGGGAGATGTGGTATTTATGGAGAGAGTGATCGAACTTGAGCCTAAAGGACGGACAAACGGCCTTAAACAAATTGAACTCCAAGACCTCAAACAAAAAGAAATACAATTTGATATTCTCTAGAATTTTGAATGAGATTGTTTAATTACATTAAATTCTCAATATAAATATATTTGTTTCAATTTGAGTGGTAGAACAAAAATTCATTGACACTTGGATCAAAAACTTTTTATTTCCTCCTTTTCATTAGGTCTTTTGAGCTAGGTCAGGATTGCGTGTTGGATTTGCTTACGTCAGTGAATATGCAAAGCACACTACATGTACACCTGGTGGAAACAAAAGCAAGCCACAAGGCAAACGCAGTGGGGCCTACTTCCCTTAAAAGTCCTGAGAATTTTCCAAAAACGTATAGGTGTACGTCCTTCCAAATTCCAATTCATTCAGTCCATCTCTCACGTAGTGGCATACGTATTCTTTCTCACGTAGTGGCATACGTATTATTGTCTACCAATTTATTTTAAGCAAAAAAAAAAGAAAAAAAAGAAGAGACATTGCTAATTCATCTATATCATAATAAGTGAACAGTACTTTTGTTTTTTAGAGTATATGACTGCTACATCGCTTCATATTTTCAATGATTTCTTCCATTCTAATCGCAGGCATAAGAGCTTTGCTAAGATTCCCAAAATCCTTTGCCATGACCTGATCAGAGCTTGTTTGACAAAGTCGAGCCCTTCTTCCCTTCTTCACAAGAAAACAAGTGGAAGAAAAGCCTTATTTCTCTTTCAAACCTTAAGCAAAGATACAATGATTGGCAACGCAAAAGCTTAGATGAACACTGGCAATAATACAACACATACTAGTTAAGATGAATTTATTGGAAGACTAATTCTTGCATAGGATCAAGGTAGAAGCTTGTTCACAACAGAGCGGGTTTTACACATGGCCTCCAAAGGTACAAATTTTGGCATGGTGAGTCCTCTACCTTCAGTCATGTCAATCTCCTCCTCACCAACTCTCTTCCACTCAAAGCATTGGATCAATGTCCCCAAGGTCAAGCCCACCACACGTTGCGCCAAGCCTGCTCCAGGGCAAGCTCTCCTCCCCATTCCAAATGGCAGGAGCTTGTGTGACAGATCCTCACCACTTTTGAACCTCTCAGGCTTGAACATTTCAGGATCATCCCACAGCTGTAGATCTCTATGTATGGCCCATGCATTCACCAATACCATTGTGCCACGTGGAACGCCAAATCCCCCAATAGTGCAGTCATCGGCTGCAAAATGTGGTAATAGCATCGGGGTGGCTGGGGACAACCGCAACGTCTCTGATATAATGCTTTGAAGGTAGGGTAGTTTAGAGATATTTTGTTCATCAACTAAGTGTTCTTGGTCAAGTTGAGCATCCAATTCAGCTCTAGCCTTTCTTAGCACATGTGGATTGTTAAGCAGATGAGACAGGGCCCATTCCAGTGTTACCGATGATGTATCAGTGCCAGCCAATAATATCACCTAAAAATTGCTCTTTTATTACCAGTAAGTTCAGAAGAAAAAGAGCATGAAATGCATACTTTTTCTCTGAAGAATATGAAATAAAGCCCTAAATACACATCTTTTCTTATGGCATAAGTGATACACAAGAGAAAGTTAGCCAATGAAATGCAGAACAAATTTTTTTTTATTAAGAGAACAAATTTTTCTCATCACTGTTGTTGTTCTTACATATATAATTAACTAAGTGCCTAGGTGCAAGAAAACTATCCCAGTAAAGTCCAAGATGATCCAGTCTAAAAAGCTACATAAGTCAATAAAAGTCACCATCAGACTCTGTATGTACTCAGACTCTATATTGACCGAAATCACCAGCTTTAGTCAGAGGCGGAGCCACAGTGGGGTCAATGGGGTCGCACGACCTCTTGGAAGCCATGGAAATAAGCTTAGAGGTCCCTTGGAGGTGCTGGTGCGACCTCTTGGAGCTGCACACCAAGTGGTCGATGAATGGCCTGAAAGAACCATCAGTTGCAAGCTGAAGAAGAAACCCATCGCGCGCCTATTTTTTTTTTTTTTAAAACAACTTGGCAAAACGACGCCGTTTCGTTTTGGCCAGGTATGAAAAAATTAAAAAAAGACCAGCGTATC